TTAAAATTTAAGATTTTTTTTACATACATCATCAAAATTACAAAATCATTGCTTTTTTGCTTGTTCAAAATGCTTCGTCAAGACTTATGATATTCATAATTAATTGTCACAGGAATATTACTGATCGTTAAATATATATGTCACAGAGATTTCATAACTCGTTTTTTTTGCAAAATTCCTAGGAAGTAGACAAGAAATTGAGGTGTTGTGGAATAAATAAAAATTACAAAATCTTACTAGTGATTTTGCAAAATTCTAGGTTTGGTTTGTGAAATTATGAATTAAAATTTTTATTCATTTATATCTGTAAATATATTACAAAATTTGTAATATATTACAAAATTACCTTTATAAATATCAATATAAAATTACATAAATTTATATTTATATTTATATATTATATTTGTATTTACATTAATAATATTTATTTATTCCACAATATTCCGGTTTTTTTTAATTATTTAAGGAATTAAAAAAAAATGATTTACACAAAATCCCTGCGACATGTACCTACATATATGTATATATAAGACATTATGAGATTCGCAATAACATTGTTATTAAATAATCGTAATTAAATTTGCAATAACATCCTATTGTTTGTAATTAAATTTGATCTTCCAATTTATTTAGCGACTCGTTTGGCAACTGTTAAAAACAGATTGTAATATTAATAATTTATGTATAAAAAGCAACGAAGATTTTTAATACTCTTATGTCTCTCTTCGTTACAGTACATTTTATTCTTTGCATATTTTACTTACATTATATACTTTTTCTTGTATTTTTTACACATGACGAAGCTCGATTTCTTCTTGTACTCTATTAGGTGTTTCTCTTATGTGTACTTAAAAAAATACGAGAAAGCCAACGAATGAAACGATGCCATTGGTTTCTGAAAGAGGTACAGATCTGCTGTATACAACAAAACTCACAGTCAGTACATCTAATAGAAAAAATTTTTATTATTTTTTTAAAGGATCTAGTAACATTGTGAAAATATTAATGAAAATAACGATGATAAATGTGTTTAATAAATTATAAAAGAGACTTGAAATATTAGTAGCAGTTACTGGCGCTTTGACACAAACAATTGGAAAAAATTAATCAGGATAAGGTAATATTTTGAAAATTTGGTGTAAAATTTGCCACTTTTTTGATGCAATTATATATATTTTTATATTAGTTTATTTATCGAGGGAGAGAATAAAGAGAAAACTTCTTTACTTATCTTATAATCTATATGTTTTAAATCCGATATCTTTTTTAAAAATATGTTTGCTATAGAACATAGAGTAATTAATTGATAATTTGTCATGACAAATAATTATTATTTTGAATTAGACTTTGTTAATGTAATGAATAAATTTACTAAATGCTACTCTCTCTCTCTCTCTCTCTCTCTCTCTCTCTCTTTCTTTCTCTCTCTATCTTTCTATATATATATATATATATATATATATATATAAAATTCTATTTAATCTTTACCATTACAATTACTGGTTACAATACTAATATTATTTTGTTATTTATTATTGTAATTATTTATTTTTTGGCATTACAAACATTTAACTTGTCGAAAGTATTAGTAGAACAGTTAATATTATTTCAGACTTTGGGAGATATTTCTTTAAATTTTTTTTGTAATTGTTTTGAATTTAATATTAATGTCGTCGTATTAAATATATGCAATTTAGAAATAATATAATTCAATACATGGTGAGATAAAATCTATAGTGATGCTCTATATAGAATTGTAAGTAAATGTATATGTTAAGAGAATTTGACTTACTTGCAATAAAAAATTAAAAGTAAAAATATCGCACCGGTTACAAAGAAAGCTATAATAAATGAGATGGTTGCACCCCATATTATATATAAAATTTTTACAGGTGTTTTATTCATTCTGTCAATAGTCTTTTCGTCGTAATCTTTATCTAGCGTATCTCTGATTGACATTGATGTCACATTTGTTATGGTACCTGTAGAGTAATAATATCTTATAATTAGTATAACATTTACTTATTGAAATATTAAGTTTGTTAGTGATAAATGTTTTGTTATTTTAGAATGTTTTTTATTTTCTCAAGAATAAAAATTTATTATTGTAATTATTTAGAGAATAAGTTGCTAAACTACTTTAAAATCAATATTATTAACGATTAGAATTTCTTTATGATATATTTTTAATATTTTAATTGTTAAATAAAATAGAAATAAATAGATAATTTAATGCACGTATTTATTTTATTGTACTATATGTATAAGTAAAATAATTAAAATACAAAAAGAATAATTGCATAATTATAATTATGTAATTCTATTTTTTTTAGTATTTTATACATAATAGTTTACAATGTAAATGATAAATAATTTTTTACTTTTTATTAAAAAATTTTTTTTCATTATTTTAAAATAAATATTACTTTAATATAGCTATGTCTTAGAGTGTATATAAGTATATTTGTAACAATATAATTATCTTACCAATGATTAAAACTGCAAAGATCATGGTCTGTAATAATTGCATCATAATGTGAGATTTTAATTATTTAACTTCTTGCCTTTTTCAGAGAGTTTAACTGAACAAGGATGCTCTTCACTCGGTTCTTAGAATCGTGATCAATATCGGGATGTGCTATATGAATTGCCTGAAATTAATAATTTAATTATTTTGGAGTTACATGTATATAGATACAATACGATATAAATTTGAGAGATGAATTCGAAGAAAGGAAGTCAAAGAAGATGACATTGAGAACAATATTCATTACATAATAAAATGACTATAAAATAAAGCGGGATATAATAGAGAAGACAATAAGATTATTTAAACGTTACTTAAAAATTCAGTATATAATAATTTTTTTCTAAAATACCGCTATTCTTATACTATAAATAATAGAATAAAATTATTACGATATATATAAGAATGACATAAACGTAAAATAAAAGAAGAGAATTTACAGAAATTACACTAATAATAAATAACTAGTAATGCTAATTGCACAAGGAAACTAGGATGTTTATACACGTTACGTGACAAAGAGTCTTTCATGCAAATTAAATGAAGTGTCGCGCAACGTTTTTAGTCATTTCATTATATATATAGATTTCCTCACAAAATTTGTCAATAATATATGCGATTTTAACGGATGCTTGTACTATAATGTTCGTATTATGAACATTTATTATAGGTACTATTATTGATTACATTTTTTTTTAGAAGCGGATTGTCAATTATACATTTCTTAAGGATAATCGACCTCATCATCAATTTTGGATTGATTATACTGTTACAGTATGATAGCGCTTAATTACAACAATAAAACATCAAAATTTAGAGCAAAGACACTTCAGTAATTCGTTATTCTTCGATTGCGATAATGTCTACATATAGAATGTCAACATGTGTATATAGGTAACGTCTACATATTAACAACTTTCTTTCAGTAAAAATTACAACAGATAATAGCCAAGTCACCAAAGACGATGCATTACAAAAATTGACCATAATAATTAATACATCAAGATATTATTTGTTTGGCTGAGCAAGAATTAGTTAGAAATATGATAATATCAATTTATTTACCTTACCAAGTAGACTCGCTTGTCTCTACGTTATTCGATCTTATATGATACAGTGACAAATGAATAATAAATATTTACGTTCATAAAAGACGTACTTTTCCTTCGAGAGCTTATTGGTCCATTCCTACGAACTTTATTGGCTATCAATTTCCTGTATGAAATTCTTTATTTTTAAATGCTCGCGGGTTATATCCGTATCGCTGTCTTTATTATAAGAGTAATGGAAATTATATAAGACTTTATTATACTTTAACTGCTTGTTATTATAAAACTATTTTTTTAATATTTTGAAGAACAATGGATATTTCCATTCGTCGACAATCTAAGCCTGTAAATTTGAAAAGTATTTGATAACGAGATTCCATAAGCATTGATGATATCAAGCTGTATTCATACAAGCTGTTATTTCTCGATTATACCGTATGCGCGCGCGTACGTACGCACACACAGATATATATATATATATATATATAGAATCTAGGTGATCAATGTAATACTTTACATACTTTAAGCTGTTACAGGATTGTATATTAATATTGTTAGTATACCTTAGTATTGTTCGTTATTTGTCATTATAATTACTTTTACCAATAATTATCGTTAATCAAGCTTGCAATAATATTTTTTGTATAAGGTACATTTATAATATATAAATAAATTATTAATAATAAGTTGAGAGATTGAGTCAATGTTTATATTTGTGTTACAATTTATTACAGAGGAAGCAATTATAGCGTACAAAAAGTTATAAAAATATGAGAAAATTTAAGATTTATTTACAATATTTTTTAACTAGATTACATAATTAAATGTATAATGCATTCACAAGTAGCAGAGTGACGCCAAATGACGTATTAATAACATCTTAATGACGTCTCTAACGTCAATAAAACGTCATTAAGACGTCTTTAGATGTCATCCTGCTACCTGCGTTGATTTTATATAAAAAGATAAAAATAATTAGCTAAACAAGTTAACTATGTTTAATTTGTTAAGCTAATTATAGAACTTAACTTATTAAGCTGACAGTGGGTATAATTTAATAAGTTAACTTTAGCACAATTAACTATAATGCATTAAAGGAAGAGATTTAAAATTTATTTACATTTGAATCTAAAAATTATTGAGGAAAAACTACTTGCTACTAAATTGACTGATTAAGAACTTCTTGTCAAATTGTCAGACATACTAAAATATTCTTCTAAAATTATATATGAAAGAAACAAAAGTGTGTTGTTTCTTTATTGTTTTTATATTATTGTTTATGTTTTATGTTTTTAAGTATAATATGCCATTTTGGCTACGGTCAAAGTGACGCTACAAATGCTTCGAAGCATTCCTCTTCTCTTTTCTTTCAATGAAGAAAGAAAGAGAAGAAGAACGCTCCAAAGCATTTGTAGCGTCACGTTGACCGTAGCCTTTATTAATTAAAATTGTCCAATTTTACTTATAGTTTATTTCGTAATTTATCATCACAGCAATATTTACTGATCGTTACGCTACGTACTTGGAGCATTACAATTTGCAATAGCATTACCGTTTGTAATTATACATGTTTTGTCAAACTTGTTTTCAATGGCAGCTGTAGAAACAAATTGTTGATAATATTAATAATAATTTGTGCATAAAAAATAAATGAGGTTTTTGATACTCTGTATCTAGGTTGCAATACAGATTTTACTCACATTATATATTTGGTCTTATATTTGTCGTGTATGGAGAAGCTGGATTTTATACTTTTTGTTATGCTCTACCAGGTTCTAATATATTTGTACGAAGAAAAACTCGACAAAACCAGAGAACCAAATAGTGCCATAGGGGTCTGAACAAGCCACAGATTCGCCGTATACGACGAAACTCCCAATCAATACGTCTAATGGAAAATAAATTTTATTATTTTTATAAAGAATCAAGTAACATTGTAAACAGATTTGAAGATAACTATGATAATAAATTTGATAATAAATTATGAAAAAAACTTGAAGTATTAATAACAATTACTGATACTTTTACACAAGCAATTGGAAAAAATTAAAGAATAAGATAATATTTTAGAAAGGTGTAAAATTTTCCACTTTTTGATGCAGTTATATGTTTCTGATATATATTTTGTTATATATTCTGATTTGTTATATTTTTTTATATTAGTTGATTTATCTATAGAAAGAAAAAACTTCTTTACTTATAATTTATATTTTAAGGCCAACATCTTTTTTTAAAATATGTTTACTATAGAGTATAGAGAAACTACTTGATAATTTGTCATGATAAGTAATGATCTATTAATCTATTAGTTTGACTTAGACTTTGTTAATGTAATAAATCAATTTATTAAATGCTACTGTTATTCTAATTAATCTTAAACATTACAATTACTGTTTCCAATACTAATATTATTTTGTTATTTATTATTGTAATTATTTATTTTCTAACTTTACAAACATTTAACTTGTCGATGGTGTTAGTAGAAATTAGTATTATTTTAGACTTTTGGGGATTTTCCTTTAAATTTTCTTTGTAATTGTAAAAATTTGAATTTAATATTAATGTCGTTGTATTAAATATATGCAATTTAGAATTAATATATTTTATTATATAGAATTATAACATATGTATATGTTAATAGAATTTGACTTACTTGCAATAAAAAATTAAAAATAGAAGTATAGCAGCAGATACATGAAAGGATACAAGAAATGAGATAATTGCCCATTTTATACATATTTTTTCAGGCACTTCATTTATTCTTTCAATAGTCTTGTTATAATCTTTATCTAGCTTATCTCTGATTGGCATTGATGTCACATTTGTTATGGCACCTAGAGAAAGTAATAATACCTTATAATTAGTAACTTCTATGTTTACTAAAGATTAAGTTTAGTGACAAATGTTTGTCATTTTAGAATGTTTTTTATTTTCTTAAGACTAAAAATTTATTACAAAAGAATAAATAGCTTAATAAGTTATCTTTAAATCAATATTATTAATAATGAAATTTCTTTATGATATATTTTTAATATTTTAATTATTAAATGAAATAGAAATAAATAGATAATTTAATGCGCGTATTTATTTTATTGTATTATTTATAAGTGTAATAATTGAATTACAAAAAGAATAATTACAATTATTACATAATTATATTTTTTTTTAGTATTTTATACATATTACATTATACATATACATTATACAATAGTTTACAATGTAAATGATAAATAATTTTTTTATAGTCCATTTTTGTTAAAAATTATATTTCTAATTATTTTTATATGAATTTTATTTTTACATAGCTACCCAGACAGCACTGCATATCCAAAATCGGGACATAAGACGTCTTTTAGCCATCTTTTAATAAGACGTCTAAAAAAATGTCTAAAAGACGTCTTATGTCCCGCTTTTGGACAAGTGTGCTGTATGGGTATATGTTTTAGAGTACATGTAAGTATATCAATTTGTAGAAATATGAGTTAATCTTACCGATGATTAAAACTGCAAAGATCTGCAATAATTGTGTCATAATGTGAGATTTGATCTATATAACTCTTTGTCTTATTCAGAGAGCTTTACTAAACAAGGACGCTCTTCACCCGGTTCTTAGAATCGTGATCAATATGTGTGCTATATGAAATGCCTGAAATTAATAGTTTGGTTATTTTGGAGTCACATATATGTAGATACAATACGATATAAATTCGAGAGATAAATTCGAAGAAAGAAAGTCAAAGAAGATGACATTGAGAACAATATTTATTACACAGTAAAATAACAATAAAATATAACGGGGTATAACATAGAAGGCAATAAGATTATGATGTAAATGTTAGTTAAAAATTCGGTATATAATCTTTTTCTAAAATACCGCTGTTCTTATTATTATAATTAAAAGAATATAAATTATATTAAGATATATATAAGAATGACATAAATGTGTAAAAATAAAGAAAGGAAATTTACAGTTGATAATAAATAACTAGTAATGCTATTTGCACGAAGAAACTGGGATGTTTATATATGTTACCTGGCGAAAGATCACACGAATTAAATAAAGTGTTGCACAATTTTTGGTCATTTTAGATTTTCTCACAAAATTGTCAATAATGTATAAGTAACTATACATTTACTATGGATGCACGTATTATGATTTATTACAGGTACAGTTATTGATTATGTATTTTTTTAGAGACGAGTTGTCAATTATATTTTTTAAGGATAATCGATCTCATCATCAATTTTGCATTGGCTATAGCGGTACAGTATGATAATGCTCAATTACAACAATCAAACATCAAAATTTAGAAGAATATATTACAATTAGTGACTACTAATATTGGAGAGGTTTGAGAGAAAAGACACTTCGGTAATTTGTTCTTTCTTGATTGCAATGTCTACATATTAACAACTTTTTTTCAATAAAAATTACAACAGATAACAACAAAGCCCTCAAAGACAAAGGATTACAAAAATTGAGCATAATAATTAATATATCAAGATATTATTCGTTTGGCTACCTAAGAATTAATTGGAAATATGATAATATCAATTTACTTACTTTTCCAAGTAGACTTGTTTGTCTCTACGTTGTTTGATCTTACGTGACACGATGACAAATGAATAGTAAATACTTAGTCTATAAGAGATATAGGTATTCAGCTCTCGACCCCACATTTTTCGACTATAACGCTATCTAGAATCATCAAAGTACAACTACTTCTATTCGAGAACTTGGACCGATTTCTAGCATCGTGTACACAAGGCTTTAGAGCTAATTGGTCGATTCCTACGAACTTTATTGGTTATCAATTTTCCGTACAAAATTCATTATTTTTAAACGATTGCAGGTTACAATATCTTTATTATAAAAGTAATGGAAATTATGTAAGACTTTATTATATATTTAACTACTTGCATATTTCTTTATTATTTTAAAGAGCAATGAATATTTCCATTTATCGACAAACCAAGCCGGTAGTTAACGTAGTCTGTGTTTTTTTTAACCAAATTTTTACTTTGTTATAATAGAAATTATTTGCAGAAAATTGTGCAACTTTGTTAACTAGTATTAACTTGTTGGCTCGTTAAGTTTTTTTCAGTAACAGTCTGCACGGACGAAACATTTATTTATATATACGTATATACATATGTAGTCCAATGCATAAATTTGAAAAGTATTTGATGACGAGGTTTTGTAAAATATTGTAAATATTCCGTATATACTGTAAAATAATTAAATGTGTAAATATAGGTATATATTTCTAGAATTAGATACATAGATCATCAATGTAATACTTTACGTACTTTAAGCTGTTACAGAACTGCATATTAATATTGTTAGTACACATTAGTATTATTTGTTATTTGTTATTAATCTAATTACTTTTACCAACGATTATTGTTAGTCAAGCTTGCAATAGTACTTTTTGTATATAAGGTACTTTTATAATCTATAAATAAATTACTAACAATAAGTTGAGAAATTGAGTTAATGTTTATATTTATGTATTACAATTTAATTGTTACAGAAAGGAAGCAGTTGTAGCGTATAAACAGTGATAAAAATATGAGAAAATTTAAGATTTATTTACAATACGTTTTAACTTGATTACGTAATTAATAATGCATTAACTTTTTATATTATAAAGAGATAGAAATAATTAGCTCAACAAGTTAATTATATTTAATTTGTAAAGCTAATTATAGAAGTTAACTTGTTAAGCTGACAGTATAATTTAACAAGTTAACTTTAGCGCAATTAACTATAATGCATTAAAAGAAGAGATTTAAAATTTATTTACATTTAAATCTAAAAAGTATTGAGGAAAAACTACTTTTTACTAAATTGATTTCACCGATTAAGAACTTCTTCAAACATTTTATACGGTTTAACAAATTTTTAGACATGTTAAAATATTTTTCTAAAATTATATATAAAAGAAACAAAAGTGTGTTGTTTCTTTATTATTTTTATGTTAAGTATAATATGTCATTATACTAATTAAAATTGTCCAGTTTATTACGTAATTCATCACAGCAATATTTACTGATCGTTACGGCACGTATTTGAAGTATTACCTTTGTAGCATTATCTTTCGTAATTACACATGGTTGTCAAACTTGTTTACTGCAACAGCTGTAGAAACAGATTGTTGATAATACTAATAATTTATGCATAAAAAACAAAAAAGATTTTTGATGCTTTATATCTTTATTATATACATATTTTACTCACATTATCATTATTTTGTATTTCTTCTTGCCTTTGTCCAATATAGATAAGCTCCATTTCCAATACTTGTATTCGAACAGGTATTTCTAATACAGGTGTACGAAGAATAACACGAAAAAACCAAAAGACAAAATAGCGCCATAGATTTTTGAAGGGGATATAAAATATCCGTATAAAGTCATACACCCTATATTAAATAAATAATAACTTCTATTATTTTTATTAAAGATTTGATAATATTGTCATTATTGAAGATAATGATAATAAATGTATATAACAAATTATGAAAGAGACAAAATGTTAATAGTAATTATCATAGAGATATAAGAATAGAGTGCGCGAGTCATATGCTAGCACGTAAGAGGCTGCGATATAGGAATAGAAAACGAACGCTGCATGTAGGCCCTTTCTGTCTTTGTCTACGCGTGCATGCGAAACAAAGACAGAAGGGGCCCATGCGCAGCTTTCTCTTTCTATTCTGCGCAGCTTTCTCTTTCTATTCCTATATCGCTTTTTCAGCTCGCTCGCGCACTCTATTCTTATATCTCTATGGTAATTATTGATGTCTTTATACAATTAATTAGAAAAAAATTGACAAAAATAAGATATTTTGAACGTCTGGCAACGTAGAATTTCTCCTCCTTTTTAATTTCTTAAAATCAATATCAATTGATTCACCTTAAAAGAGAGAGAAATTTACTTATTTATTTTTTTGAAGTTGATATTTTTACTTATTTACAGTTATGTTTACTATAGTTAATAACAATCGATAATTTGTTAGTATAAGTAATTATTATGACAAATTTGAGTCGAATTTAATTAATGCTACTAGCACTATTTCAATTAATCTTTAATTTCACAATTATTTTTTACACTTATTAACTTTATCTATTTTTTGATATTACACAGATCTATCTAGTTGAAATATTATGTAGTAGAGATTTATTGTTATTTTAAGCCTTCAGAATTGCCTTTAAATTTTTCTCGTAATTATGATGTATTAATTTTTTTTTAGATTTGATATCAAATAAAATCAAAATGAATACGTATAATATGTATAAATGTAATAAGAGCATTTAACTTACTTGTAAATAAAAAATAATACAATTAAGGCTATTACTGCATAAATATTTAGAAGAATTCCAGTGATATGATCTCTTAGGGAATCCTCTTCTTGAATTTTTACTTTAGTGATGTCATCTTCTTTATCTGTATTATTCGCTAATACTGATATCACACATATAATTTTTGATACTGCATCTAATATAACAATTATATTTTGTCATTTGTAAGACCTACTCACTAAGAGATTTGATTTGTTAGCAATAAATATTATCATTTTAGAAAATAAATTATCATACCAACGGTTAAAATCACGAAGATAATAGTCCTTAATAATTTTCTCATAATGTAAAATTTATGTAAAAGTAACGTAAAAGTTATTTAAATATTTATTTTTTTTAAAAAGCTTTACTTATAGAATAGATTATTCTTTGCTTTGTTCATAGAGTCATATATTTGTGATAAATTGCCTAAAATTTATAAAGTTATTATTTTAGATGTTACATATTATATGCCATATAAAATCAAAACGATATGAAAATATATTCTATAATAAAGAAATTCAAGAAAGATTAAATTGACAGAAATATTCATTTTAGAAGAAAAAAAATATGTATAGTATTGCTTACGTGTTACATATTGGATATCAATCATTTGATTAACAACAATTTTAAACTGAACAATAAATGTTAAATAAATTTGTAATAATATTTAGAGTGTATCTTAAGCCCTATCTTAAAGTCCTATGTACGTTTGTACTTTTCTTTAGTGTAATAATGCATCTCAAATAAGCAATTTACTTATTTGCATTTACACTGCAGTTATATATACAATGCTAAGTTACATAATATACAATTGTATTTGCTTTTATGTTTTACTTGTTGTATATATTTTCCTTCTATTACGTTTTCCTTAATTCCTTTATGGTGCAATAACTTCTTGCATTTCTTGCTCTTGGGGCGCTGGATGATGTTCACCGCGGTGTCCTCGAAAGTGAGAAAGTCGGCGAACAATATAATTCCAATTAATTATGATAAAATTTCTGATCCGTCTTCCGGAAGAATACTCAGTACACCTAATTAAATATATTTTTTAGAACTAGTAACATCGTAAATTATAAAAAATTTGTATTAAAATTGGAGGATAACATTTTCTAAATTTATATTTCTTATAAAGAGATTTTTTATCAGTTTATCAATTTTATCCTTAAATTTATTCAACAATCAATAAAGGAACATTTTGTAACCTATACAAATATTATAATATAATTTATAAACTATAAAGGATAAAAGATATATTGATGCAGAAATGATCTATATATATGATTAGATTTAACAAGAAGTATATAATTTCTTATCTGTAACTTATGATTAATTAAAAAATTGTTTAAAAAAAGTATAATATTATTTTGTTTTGTACTTTCAATTTTTCTCTCAAAGAACCTATTTAGAAAACTTTGGATTAAAATAAAAGTGTGCAAATTCTTTAAAATTAATTACAAAACTATAAATACTTCAAAGGAATTTAATTTACCAACAATAGCACGATGTAATAAAACATATGGTAAATAATATGCCTATAGTTAGTAGTAACCAAATATAATCTAAATTCGGAAGCTTTCTCATTGTGACATCCGGGTAGGTCCAAATTTTATGTTCTTTTTTTATATCGCTCTTATTTAATGTATCCGTTGGTAAAAGTATTGTCACAACTTCTGTTATAATAACTAGAACAATAACTGCAGATATTAATTAATACTATTGGTTTTGATTATTATTGGTTATTGTTAGGAACATTAATTATATGTCTATTTCTAAAATATTTAATTTGTATTAAATATTTCTTACTTTAAAAAATTATAATTTTGTTAAAAATAAAAATTTAATATAAATCAATTTAATTAATTTTACGTGTATATGTGTGTGTGTGTGAGTATTTATGTACATGTATAGGAAATTTAATTCTCAGCATATAAATCAAGTTCTTAACAAGCTCTTAGCAAATTTATTTCTTAACAAGAAAATTTGTTCTTGATGGTTTCTTTTTTAATAAACAATTTAAACATTAAAATAAATAAAATAAAAAATGTAATCTTTGTGTAAAATGTAAAATAATATATATATATTATATATATTATATATATACAATACATAAATGTATATATTATTTTATATCTTTAATTACTATTCAGTAAAGATATAAATATTATTATGCATATTTAAAATCTGTGATGAAAAATTAGCAAATAAATCGAATATATTATGACATTATTATGTACGTGTATATATTATCAATTTTCTTACTTGAAATCAAAATTGTAAAGGCAATTGTCCGCGATTGCACCATAATATAAAACACTGTTTAATGATTTTTCAAGAAAATTCAAGTTGTTGGAATAAGACAGATGAATTTTTCTTGATTCACTCAATTGTAATCACACGAATAATAGAGGTATATGAAACCTAAAATAGTTTTGACAAAGTCCAATTAAGAAAAGTAATTATTAAAAGATAAACAAGAGGCCCAATTAATAATAAAATATAAAAAAAGAATAAATTACAATTTGGATTGGATGAATGCTGTTAGTCGGTGTTTAATATGTAAGTAGTGTGAATTCCTCGCTAATCCGTTGGTGTTTATTATTATTGTGAAATTATAAAATAACAATACTAGTCGGAAGAACGAAAGAAGGTGAATGTTTACATATATTACCATTGCTTGACAAAGTCATGAAAACTAAAAGAATTTTAAGTGTCACGAAACATACTTGGTTATTATTTCGCGAAAGATACTTGATTAGGAATACTTAGAAGTGTATGATCAACGTAAATGCACTCATTATATATTTCTGTAATTCTGTATTTCTACAATTTATTATTATACAAATATTTCTTAGTTACATTAATCGCGAGACAATATTTATATTTCTTAGAGATAATTTTATCATTAATTTTGTACTTGTGATAACACGAAATTGCAATAGTAAAACAGCGAAATTTAAGATAAAGTACATAATTAATTTACAAGTAATGATCATTGATGAATTCTGAAAGAACGGGCTACTCGTTATCATTCTGATTGATTGCAATGACTATATGTAATTTTATTACAACAGATAAAACAATTGATGATAAAAGATTCGAGAATATGACACTAAAGAAAAATTGGGTATAATAATTAACATCTTAAAATTACATTTGTTAGACTAAATGCAAAAATTAGTTAGAAACAAGATAATATTAATTTTTCCATCTTACCAAATAGGATACTCGTTACTCTGTAATCGTCCTCTACATGTGATACAATGATAAGTGAGTAGCGAGTATTCAACTTATAAGAGACGTATTCCTTAATGCTTATTGGTTCATTCGTATGAGCGCTATTGCTGTTAATTTTAAACTGTTTATCCTTAAACACCGTGAGACATAGTATCGCTGTTTTGCATACATTTTCATTCTCAATAGGGAATTTAAAATTATATAGAAATTTATTTTATTTAGCTGTGTACACTTCTCTATGTGAATGTTTTCAATATTAGCAGATATTTTTGCTGGATAATCCAATCCAATTGTTAACGTGGATCCATTTCTTAAATATCTTGCCTTATATCAAAGAGAGATATAAACTATATTCTATCGATTGTGCACAGGACATAAGGGAAAGGTACCAATATCCGAACACTTAAGCATAGGAAATGTACCAATACCTGAATACGTATCTGTATCTGGATACCTTTAAAAAAATATAAATTTATGAAAATAAACGTTTGGATATTATAACTGAAGTTTCAAACTACAAGAAAAAATATTTTTATCTTTGATTTTAATTCGCGTTATACTTATAAATAATAAAGGTGTTTGGATATAGGTACATGTTCGGGTATTGGTACCTTTCCCTTAGTTTTCTATTAAAATATACACGCATATGTGTCAAATAAATACATATATATTTCCAAAGTGTCAGTATAAATAAATTATACAAAATAAATAAAAAATATTCATGTAATATCTACATTCCTATCATACAATTTGTTACAGATAAAGTTATCAAAAAATACAAAAGTGCAATATAAACGTGTCATAAATAGTTATTAATTTCAAGCTACAATACATTTGTCAAAATCTAATTATATATTTAATTAATACAAAATATTAAATAATCTACCGTTTATATATAAGTACTTATATTAATGTGATTTTATGTACTTAATTTATATGTATTTGTCATTGTTAAATTTTAATGTTTAAAAAAAAGTAGAGTTACTGAAAAATTCAATTTCTTACAAAAATCTCACTGTTGGAAATAGTAATTGTAGACCCAAACAAAGAAATACGTGTCTTCTCCTTTTCAAAATACTTTTCGTACAAAAAAATTGCCAAAATTATTGAAGTAGGTCATAGATCAAGATCAGAGAAATTTCACGAAAATTTTAGCGAGAGTGCCCTATATGTTTTTTATATTCCTATGCTTTCATAAGTTCATAACTTCTAACTTGTATATCTCGACGAGAAAAAATTGTACGTTGGCAAATAAACTTTAATTTTGAAGAAAAAGGATAATACTATATAAAGCCATCGGTTAAAATATAGAAAAATAATTTGTTCTTTCTGTAATATTTTCATAAATATAGCCAAAATCATTAATTTTGAAACATTTTACCCCATTTATTTAAAAAATTTTATGTGATAGGCAATTTCTGTTACTAGATTTGTATCACAAAATTAAGTAGAGAACCATCTATAATTCTCAAACAACAAAACCTCGCAGATCTGTGTAATTAATTCTCTGCGATATTAATGAAACAAAGTCGCTTTAATAATAAAAAAAATTAGACTTTATGTAATTTGTCAATAATTATATTTACATTTGTATTGTACGAACAAAACAGTCAAAGTATATGCATGCATTAATATAAATGTATTACGTAATTGTTAATTCTAATATAAGGTTTGCTTGTCGAAAGATACATATGTGCTGAATTAAAAACATATAAAGTAAATGTATCAATGCCTGGACACGTATCTAATATATCTGGACATTTATATCATTTTAGTCCTTAAATAAGTTATAACGCAAATTAAAATCAAAGAATTAAAAATAAAAATATTTTTCTTGTATTATATTTTTATCTTTGATTTTAATTCGCTTTATACTTATTTAAAAACTAAAATGATAAAGATGTCCAGACATAAGTCTTAAGTGTTTCGCCAATAGTACATTTACCTTAAAACTTAGAGTATTTATACAAATTATATGCATTCAATAATATAATTTACATAAAAGTACGTTTTTTAACACAATTTAATATGCTTCATATTGTAGTATTACTGTTAAAATATGAATAACAGATTAAATTATGTCTTTACACTAACATTAACATCAGTTTTTATTTCATTATACATACGAAATCATTCCTTGTCTGTCATAAACGTTTAGAAGAATTCCAGATTATTTTTTAGTGAGGCCTTTTCCAGAATTTTTATTTTAGTAATTTCGTCTTCTTTATCTATCTCACTCGTTAACACTGACATTACTTTTTTTGTTATTGAATCTAATATAACAAAATTATTTTGTCATTAGTAATGCCTACTCACTAAGAGATTAGATTTGTTAGCAATAAATATATATTTGTCATTTTAAAATATTAATTATCATGCCAACGGTTAAAATAGCAAAGATAATAACTCTTAATAATTTTCTTATGATGTAAAATTGAAGTTATTTAAGTCTTTATTTCATTTAGAAAAGAAACATAGAGAAAAGTATTTTTTGCTTTGTTCTGAAGTTGTGTATATAATTATGCTTACGTATTAAATTGCTTACATGTTACATATTGGATATCAATCATTTAATTAACAACAATTTTAAACTAAACAATAAATATTTTAAAAAATTGTAATAATATTTAGAGTGTATCTTAAAGTCTTATGCACGTTTGTATACTTTTCTTTAGTGTAATAATTAATAATGCATCTCAAATGAGCAATTTACTTATTTGCATTTATACTGCGGTTATATATAATACTAACATACAATTGTATTTGCTTTTATGTTTCACTTATTATATATATTTTACTTGTATATATTACGTTTTCCTTGATTCCTTTATAGTGCAACAATTTCGTGCATTTCTTGCTCCTGGCGTGTTGGATGATATTCACCGCGGTGTCTTCGAAAGTGAGAAAGTCGGCGAACAAAATGATTCCAATTAATTATGATAAAATGTCTGACCCGTCTTCCGGAAGAAATCTGAGTACACCTATTAAAAGTGATTTTTAGGATTTTTAGGACTAGTAATATCGTAAATAAATTATAAAGAATCCATATCTATAAGAAATTGAAATAAAATTTTCTAAATTTATATTACTTATAAAGTGTTTTATCAGTTCATTAACCTTATCCTTATTTGATAATTAATAAAGGAATATATTCTATTACATATACAAAAAAAAAACAAACAAAGAAAACGAAATTATTCATAAAAACAATAAAGAAAAAATATATATTGATGCAGAAATGACATATGTATAATTACATTTAACAAAAAGTATATAATTTCTTATCTGCAATTTGTGATTAATTAAAAAATTATTACATAAAAGCGTAATACTATTTCGTTTTGTACTTTTAATTTTTCTCTCAAAGAACTTATTTAGAAAACTTTAGATCAAAATAAAAATTATAATTTTTTTAAATATCTTACTGAACTGTAAATATATATACGTTAACAAAATTCAATTTACCACAAATAGCATGTTAAAATAACACATAGGACAAGTATTATGCCTGTAGCTACTTCTAACCAAAAAAATACATTATCTTCTAATGTCGGAAGCTTTATAAATCTGATTTCCAAGTCGGTCTGATGCTTCTTTTTTACATCGTTCTTGGCAAATACATCGTTTGGTAATAATGATGTCACAACTTCTGTTATAATAACTAGAACAGTAACTGCAAATAGTAATAAATTAATATCTGTTTTTATTATTGGTTATCACTATAACTATGTCTATTTTTAAAATATTTAATTTGCAATAAATATTTCTTACTTTAGAGAATTATAATTTTGTTAGGAATAAAAATTTAGTATAAATCAATTTTTAATTAACGTTGTGTGTATGTGTAATGAGTATGTATAGATATGTACGTGTATAGAAAATTTAATTTTCAGGAAATCAAATTTTTTAACAAAAAAAATTTGTTCTTGGTATATACTGATATTTTAAATATTAAAATAAATAAAATGTAATGTACGTATATTTGTGTGTATAATAAAATATAGGGTGTGATCCACTAGACGCTTTAAACGTTTCTGAGCATCATTTGTCCTTGTTTAACATTTGATAAACAACAAGAATAAAATGTTTCCATAAGAGCGTTTGGAACGCCAAGTGGATCGCACCCAATATCAATTATACTTACTTGAGATCAAAATTGCAAAGATTGTCCATGATTGTACCATAATATGGGACACTGTGACTTTTCTTTAAGAGAAAATTTAAGCAGATGGAAGATAGATGAAAATTTCTTGATTCACTCAGTCGTAGTCACGAAATAAACAACATGGTTATTTTATATTGGAATCGAGAATATTTGTCCAATTGTTTATATAAAATCTTATTTTATGCGAAATGGTAGAGGTGCATGAAATCTAAAAAGTCCAATTGAGAAAATTAATTATCAAAAATAAAAAACTGGCCAAATTAGTAATAAAATATAACGATATAATAAAAAAAAGAAATAAAATAAGAGTGTAGTTTGAATTAATACACTTAATCAATATTTGACATGATATGTACAATAAATTTCTTCTTAAAATATGGATATTTGTTATAATTTGGCAACGTAAATCTGAGAATTAGGAAGTTAATATTTAATAATAATAATTGCGAAGAGAGAAATTGAGATGTTTATACATATATGTGTTATTGTTACTCGACAAGGACACGAAAACCGAAAGAATTTTGAATACTCGTATTTAACTTTGTCAGTCGGTTGTTTTACTAAGATCATGTAAGTTAATTAATAGTATCAGCAATGCAAAATCAGAAGTGTAATATAAACATTTACACTATAGATAAATCTTAATATTATTCTAATCAAAACAATAATTATATTCTCTAAGAATAACTAATTGTATCATTAATTTTATTTATATGCTTGTCGAATTGTCAACACATGAACCGAAAATTGTAATAGCAAAATAATAAGTTATGATTTATGATTAACACACATAAATAATGATTGTCGTCAAGTTTTGAGAGAAAGAATATAACCTCTATATGACACAACTAAATTGAACGTATTATAATGTAGACGTACCGGTGATTTTATTGCACTGATATCGAAAATGACATCGAATAAAGATAAAACATCAAAGACTTAAAAAACTAGTTTGAGACTTTTGTCTTACTCGTTATAAGAATTAATTGTTTTGCACAATCAATTCGTACGTCTTACCAAATGGGATAATTACTTACTTCTATCTCGCTTGTTTCTGTACCTCGCTTGACAATACGTCAGTGACAAATGTTTACAGTTTATAGGAAACACAACGTACATAGTCCTCAGTGCTAACTGGTCAATTCTCTCTCGTCGAGCGCTATTGGTTCTCATATTTCTGCGCGAAATTAACTATCTCTAGGCGCTTGCAGATCGTATGTACCGTTGTCTCTCACATTCGGCAAAAATCTAAAATTCTGTAGCCGTACAGAACATCAACAGATATTTCTGTTCACAGATAATTGAATCCAACAGTCAATGGGTTTTGTTCTTAATTTTTCTTCGCATAGTTGTATCTCAAGAAAACTATGTTAAAAAGAGAATATATTTTGTTATCTGTCTATTGTTATAGGCAGATTTGTTATATATATTTGAAGTTTTTTTTACAATGCAATTTAAAATTTTTTTAAATTTTAATATTTGATTTTAGTCTGATATAGTTAATTAATATTGCACTATAATTGAGACAACAATTATGATCTCTAAACATAATCGGTAGGCATAAAGGGTCTATCTGCTTACCACACAGGATATTTGTTCTCTGTACATGACAAGTCAGCGACAATTTACGATCCGTAGGAGACGGAAATCTCGTTGTGCTATTTGGAGTATTCAGATAAATGCTATTGGCTATCATAATATCGCACGAAATTATCTCTAGGCGCTTGCAGAGGTCGCATCGTTGTTTTTCATTTTTAGTAAGAGTCTAAAATTCTCTAGGAATATACATTCTTTCAACAGCTTGCATATCTTTCCAGTTCGAATATTTTAAACATTAACTGCAGATATTTTTGTTCATTGACAATTGAACCTGTGGTGATCTCAACAGATTTTATATCCGAATTTCCTGGAGCGAAAGTTATATGGGCCTTCTTTTTTTATATGTATAAAAAAGTAATTGTTAATCTAAAAGTTTTCTTTATAAGTCGTATAAAAAAAAAAAATATATATATATATATACACACACACAATATATATTTTTTTATCAGCTATCATAATAGTCAATTTTTTCATATATATTTTAATTTTTTCTTATAACGCAATATTTAATTTATTTCTTTGATATAATTTCTGCTTTTCAACTACATGTTGCTTGGCTTAAAATTAATAGATAAATTGTACATTCACAGCCAGATGACCAAAATAAGCATAATGTACACATGCTATATGAAATTATTTTTTATTATTGATAATTAATTATCTGCGATATTCTAACCACAGGTGCTATAATAATAAAAAAATGCTCTATAAAATTTATTAATAATTATATTTACATTCGTATTGTACAAACAAAGCAGTCAAAATATACATGCATTAATAAAAGTATATTATATAATTGTCAATTCTAATATAAGGTTTGCTTGTCAAAAGATACGTATGCTAAATTAAAAACATGTAAAACTAGAAATATTTATACAAATTATATGCATTTAAGAATATAATTTACACAAAAATGTATTCCTTAACACAATTTAATATGCTTCATATTGTAGTATTATTACTGTTAAAATATGAATAACAGATTAAATTATGCCTTTACACTAACAACTTCAGTTTTTAATTTATTATGATTATACATATATAAAGTATTATAAAGTCATTCCTCGTCTGTCATGCGGTACAGCTCGTATCTCTAGTCCACTCGATTATTAAGTTTTTAGGGCCACGAATAGTAAAGAATATAATGGATATAGATGAAGCGGTGTCACCGCAGCAGGTTTCTAAAAGTAACAGATGGGTACTACAATTAGCTTGCAAAACCTAAAAAAATTATATAAATTATATATATAGATTACATATTATATATAATTTTTTAATTAAACATTTAATAACACAATTAAGAATTTTAATTGACTATATACTAGCAATGATTATAATCGTAGCAACGAACAGACTAAAGACTTTTATCGAAAATTAGAAACATACATAGAGAAAAGCGAAAGTATTTAAATCTAGAGCATCTACCAAAAACAAGTAATAGATGGAAATACACAAAATCGTACTTTACTCACGAAGGGGAGCACCATGCCCCCGACTAGCGGCAGGATTCTGACCGCGCCCGAGCAGGATCCGAGCACCGACCTGGTGATCGGCGAAGGGTCTCATACGACCTACTGGACCTACTCTAAACCTGGCCGGATTTTGACCGCGCCCGAGCTGGATTCGAGCATCGAACGGGGGATCGGCGAAGAGTCGCCCACGACCTACTCTACGGAAAACTGCCTGAGGTTCCTCAGCTTGACGCCGCGCTATCGTCTCCAAAGGCACGACTTGGGCAACTCGGCGAACAGGAGCTTCAATAATTGGAGGCTCAGGTGGACCCGACCGCCTTACAACAATACAAATATAGATATACACCTATGTGTGTATGTGGTTATCTTATAACACCGTGAATGAATTGAATGTAAGCATGTTTAATTAGAAAAAAAGGAATAGTGCATCGTAACAGCTGCTAATGATTTCATGATTTAATTGAAATAACATGTGAAAACAAGTGATTATTTTTTTGGTATGTACATACAACAAGATTTTAATTATAGTTAACACATTATGTGTTAGAAGTTTAATATTTTATTTTGTACAATTAGAATTTATTTAATCGACTACATTTGGCGGATAATTATCGTGATTTCATTTTGTATTTTGATTTGTTTATTTTTTTAATATCCTAAAATAAATTGCACAACTATAAATCTATCATACATACAAATTAATTAACCCCAATCCCTTCAACGTTTTTTCAGCTATTTAATCAACGAGATTTTGACTGTTTGCCGTTTCGAGAGTAACTGAGCTAGGGCTTTAAAATTTCTATCTGAGATGTTCCCTACTATAACAATCATTTTTTAGAGGGGGATTATCCCACGACCGTTGGTTTTCCGGAACAAACGACCGGAAAACGACGTTAGAAACGTGTGGGACACGAAAGTGCATGGTTGAAGGGATTAGAGTTAATTATAAAACTATAAAAACGTACATATTGAAACAATCCGACTTACCGAATATTGTATAAAAAGTCACATATAATAATGATTGATAATGATAACAACAACATTGAAGAAATTATCCAATAAATATATAAATTGTCCTTTACCAACAAATCAGTTGAGTTTGGTATTTCATGTTCATGGTATATATTATTTTCAACGTCATTATTATGTGATAATCTTAATATAATGTGTTCTATAACCTCTGGAAAAATAATTATGTTTATTAAATAATTACGTTAATTATTAATAAATTATTTTTATATAAATAATTAGTATTTATTATTAACGAATTAATAATATAAAAAATAAAAATGTATTATAAATTAAACCTGTTCGTAAATTAAGTTATCGTTAGATTAAATTTATTTACAAACGTTTGTCATTACTGTCATTAGTATATTTATCTAATGTTTGCACAAACGCGCGCATACACAAAAAGAGGGACAAAAATATGGATTATTATACCACAAAGTAAAATTGCAAATACAGTGAACATTAATCGAATCATAATGTGAGATTATACTATTCTCTTCTTCACAAAATTTAATTAGACGAATTTGCTCTTTCCTTGATTTATTCACTCGTTATCTGTTGTGTTGTTGTGTTGTGCCAATTGTCTAAAAATAATAACATGATTATTTAGATTTAGAATGTCGAATATGGTAGAATGTCGCAAATGGTGGAATAAAACAAAACATAACATAGAGAGGTATGAAAACTTTGAACAATTAAGATTTGAAAGAAGGTTACAAGTACAAAATGAAATATAATAGAAAATAATTAAAAATAATTACATTTTGATTTTAACTAGCAGTGTTAATTAATGTTTGGTATGTAAGTACAGTGAATCTTTTAAACCATATGGATATTTACTGCTATTAAGAGAATAACGTTGATCTAAGAATTAGAAAAAGAAAATTAATAATGACAGTTGCGTGGGGACTTCGGTAATATGTTTAGATGTATTATTATTATTTGATGATGTCAAAAAGCTATAAGATCTTTGGAATAACGCGTACCATACTTACATTAGCTTATACTCAAAAGGTTATTTTGTTGGAATTTCTAACAAAAATGTCGATAACATAATCAATGCGGAAATAAATGTTGAAAATAATTATATAACATACATAATTTTCGATTAATATTATACTAATCAAAACGATAATTATGATCTCTAAGCATAACGGATAGGCATAAAGGTCTTACCTTCTTACCACATGAAATGTTCGTCTTTATGTCTTCTATATATGACAATAGATCAGCGACAATTTACAATGTGTAGAAGACTAAGGGCCTTCGCACAATGAAAAATATAAGAAACAAGGAACAGATATTAGCGATTGGAAATAAGAAATCAGGAATAAAAGCTGGCGTAACATTAATACACGGCTTCCGATAGGTTAAAAATCTATTATCTGCGTTATTCTCTGTTTCCGTTGCCTGTATTTTTCATCCAACTTTGTTCTTGATTCTTTAGTCCTAATATCTGTTCCTTGTTCCGTATATTTTTCATTGCGCGAAGGCCTTAACTTGTAGAGCACCTAGCTCTTTGTGCTGATTGGATTATTCAGATAAACGCTATTGGCTGTCGTAATACCGCACGAAATTATCTCTAGGCGCTTGCAGAGATCGCATTGTTGTCTTCCATTTTTACTAAGAGTCTAAAATTCTCTAGGAATATACATTCTTTCAACAGCTTGCATATCTTTCCAGTTCGAATATTTTAAACATTAACTGCAAATATTTTTGTTCACTCACAATTGAACCTGTGGTGATCTTAACAGATTTCATATCCGAATTTCTTGGAGCGAAAGTTATCTGGGCCTTCTTTTTTTATATGTATAGAAAAATAATTGTTAATCTAAAAGTTTTCTGCATAAATCGTATCTAAAAAAAAACATAAAAAAGATATTTTTTATCAGCTATCATAATAGTCAATTTTGTCATATATATTTTAATTTTTTCTTATAACGCAATATTTAATTTATTTCTTTGATTTAATCTCTGCTTTTCTACTACATGTTGCTTGGCTTAAAATTAATAGATAATTTGTACATTTACAGCCAGATGACCAAAATAAGCATAATGTACACATTAATTATCTGCGATATTCCAACCACAGGTGCTTTAATAATAAAAAAAATGCTCTAATTCATTAATAATTATAATTATATTTACATTCGTATTGTACAAACGAAACAGTCAAAATATACATGCATTAATAAAAGTATATTATATAATTGTAAATTCTAATATAATGTTTGCTTGTCGAGAGAGAGAGAGAGAGAGAGAGAGAGAGAGAGAGAGAGAGAGAGAGAAAGATACATATGCTGAATTAAAAACGTGTAAAGTAAATGTACCAATGCCTGGACACGTAACTAATATATCTGGACATTTATATCATTTTAGTCCTTAAATAAGTTATAACGCGAATTAAAATCAAATAATCAAAAATAAAAATATTTTTCTTGTATTATATATCTTTGATTTTAATTCGCTTTATACTTATTTAAAAACTAAAATGATAAAGGTGTCTATAGACATAAGTCTTAAGTGTCCCGGCAATAGTACATTTAGGTACCTTAAAACTTAGAGTATATATATAAATTATATCCATTCAATAATTACATAAAAGTATGTTCCTTAACACAATTTAATATGCTTTATATTGTAGTATTACTTAAAATATGAATAACAGATTAAATTATGCCTCTACACTAACAATTTCAGTTTTTAATTTATTATGATTATACATATAAAGTATTATAAAGTCATTCCTCATCTGTCATGCGGTACAGTACGTATCTCTAGTCCACTCGATTATTAAGTTTTCAGGGCCACGAATAGTAAAGAATATAATGGATATAGACGAAGCGGTGTCACCGCAGCAGGTTTCTAAAAGTAACAGATGGGTACTACAATTAGCTTGCAAAACCTAAAGAATTTATATATATTATATATTATATTACATATTATATATCATTTTTTAATTAAACATTTAATAACACAATTAAGAATTTTGATTGACTATATATACTAGCAATGATTATAATCGTGGCAACGAACAGACTAAAGGCTTTTATCGAAAATTACAAACATAAATAGAGAAAAGCGAAAGTATTTAAATCTAGAGCATCTACGAAAAACAAGCAAGTAATAGATGGAAATACACAAAATCGTACTTTACTCACGAAGGGAAGCACCATGCCCCCGACTAGCGGCAGGATTCTGACCGCGCCCGAGCATGATCCGATCATCGTTAACCGGGGGATCGCATCGTGCGATGGAATGGATTAGATCGCATATGACCTAATCCATGGAAAACTGCCTGAGGTTCCTCAGCTTGACGCCTGTTTTAAAATAAATTGCACAACTATAAATCTATCATACATACAAATTAATTAACCCCAATCCCTCCAACGTTTTTTTCCGCCATTTAATCAACGAGATTGTGACTGTTTGCCGTTTCGAGAGTAAATGAGCTAGGGCTCTGAAAGAGTGATGGCAAATTTCGCCCATTTTTGAGATCTCGAATTTCAAACTTTTTTTCATGGCAAATAGTACTATTTGATGAAACATTAATTCCAGTAAAATTTCAAGATGAGCATAGGTACGGTTTCGGAAATACAAGGGGGTGAAAAAATACGGGATATCGAAAATTCGTATAGGGTAACTTTGTCATTTTTAGAGATATTTTAAATCCGCAAGCGGGTGTTGTTTCGGAATCGGGTACAAACAATTTCAAAACAGCACCCGCTTGCGAATTTAAAATATCTCTAAAAATGACAAAGTTACCCTTATACGAATTTTCGATATCCCGTATTTTCACCCCCTTGTATCTCCAGTACCGTGCCTATGCTCATCTTGAAATTTTACTGGGATTAATGTTTCATCTAATAGTACTGTTTGGCATAAAAAGAAGTTTGAAATTCGAGGTCCCAAAAAATGGGCGATAAAACAGATTTTTTTGCCATCACCCTTTCTACCTGACGTTCCTTACTATAACAACTTTTTTTAGGGGGAGGGGGGAGATTATCCCACGGGCGTTGGTTTTCCGGAACAAACGATTGGAAAACGACGTTAGAAACGCGTGGGACACGAAAGTGCATGGTTAAAGGGATTAGGGTTAATTATGAAACTATAAAAACGCACATATTGAAACAATTCGACTTACCAAGTATCGAATATAAAGTTAGACACGAGGTGAGATATAAAAGAGATTGAAGTTTTACGTAATACTAATAACAATAATGACCACGTTGAAAGACTTATCCAATAATAATTATATAAATTGTCCTCTACCAACAAATCAGTTGAGTTTGGTATTTTATGTTCATGGTGCATATTATTTCCAACGTCATTATTATGTGACAATATAATGTGTTCTATCATCTCTGGAAAAATAATTATGTTTATTAAATAATTACGTTAATTATTAATAAATTATTCTTATAAATAATTAGTGTTTATTATTAACAAAGTAATAATATAAAAAATAAAAATTTATCATAAATTGAACCTGTTCGTAAATTAAATTATCGTTAGATTAAATTTATTTACAAACGTTTGTCATTAGTTTATTTATCTAATGTTTACACAAACGCGAACGAACGCGCGCGCACACACAAAAAGAGGGACAAAAATATGGATTATTTTACCACAGATGAATAACAGTTCAAATACATTGATCGCCGATATTAATCGAATCATAATGTGAGATTATACTATTCTCTTCTTCACAAAATTTAATTAGACGTATTTGCTCTTTTCCTTGATTTATCCACTCGTCATCTGTTGTGTTGTTATGCCAATTGTCTAAAATTAATAACAAGATTATTTAGATTTAGAATGTCGAATATGGTAGAATATCGCAAATGGTGGAATAAAACAAAACAACATAGAGAAGTATGAAAACTTTGAACAAGATTTGAAAGAAGGTTATAAGTACAAAATGAAATATAATAGAAAATAATTAAAAATAATTACATTTTGATTTTAACTAGCAGTGTTAATTGATGCTTGGTATGTAAGTACAGTGAATCTTTTAAACCATATGGATATTTACTGCTATTAAGAGAATAACGTTGATCTAAGAATTAGAAAAAGAAAATTAATAATGACAGTTGCGTGGTGACTTCGGTATGTTTAGATGTATTATTATTATTATTTGATGATGTCAAAAAACTATAAGATCTTTGGAATAACGCGTACCATACTTACATCAGCTTATACTCAAAAGGTTATTTTGTTGGAATTTCTAACAAAAATGTCGATAACATAATCAATGCGGAAATAAATGTTAAAAATAATTTTAACATATATAGTTTTCGATTAATATTATACTAGTCAAAACGACAATTATGATCTCTAAAGATTAGCGACAATTTATAATGTGTAGAAGACTATAAGGGTGACGCGACGCGCGACGCGTCTAGTGGGAACGCACCCTAACTTATATAGGGCATCTAGCTCTTTGTGCTGATTGGATTATTCAGATAAACGCTATTAGCTGTCGTAATACCGCACGAAATTATCTCTAGGTTTAGGCGTTTGCAGATCGCACCGTTGTCTTTCATTTTTAGTAAAAGTCTAAAATTTTCTCTAGGAATATACATTCTTTCAACAGCTTGCATATCTTTCCAGTTCGAATATTTTAAATATTAACAGATATTTTTGTTCACTGGCAATTGAACCTGATGATCTCAACAGATTTCATATCCGAAAGATTTCATTTCCTGGAAAGTTATCTGGGCCTTCTTTATTTATAGTGTAGAAAAATAATTGTTAATGTAAAAGTTCTTTGTATAAGTCGTATCTAAAAAAAATTTTTAAATAATATATTTTTTATCACCTATTATAATAGTCAATTTTTTATTTTAATCTCTGCTTTTCAATTGTATGTTACTTGGCCGGTTAAAATTGATAAGATAATATGCACACCCACAGATGGTCAAATAAGCATAATGCATACATACTTTAATAACATACGCGTATATCACTTTACTTTAATGTGATTATATCTTATTATTGATAATAAATCTTGTGACATTTCATTCAAAAACTTTTTAATAATAAAGAAGTGTGTTTCGTGCTCGACCTGATTTATTTTGCGAAACGCGATTAATACCGGAATTACTCAGAAAGAGTGCGAAACGAGGGGAGGGCTGCGGATAGAGAGAACGACTATCGTTATACAGCGATTAGTCTATAGTCTATACTGAGAACTCTTAGTAAATTTCACGGACATTGTCGTGGCTCGAATTGCTCGGAAATCTTGAGGCGTCAGTAGTCTGCCGCAAACGCGAGACGGAGATCTTGCCGAGCATCGACTTGATGCCCTTACGACGGAAATTTTGCGGTCGAACGGAAATCTTGTTCGCGAGGCAGACTCCGAACGCGAACGCGACACGACGACAATAATCCGGGGCGAGCTCCTTTGATGAGCTCGATGATCACTCTCGTAGAAAGTGCAAAGTCTCTGCAGATCACGCACTTAACGAGGATGGTTGGTCGGTGATGCCGCGCATACGAATCGGTGGTGAAACCACGCACAAAGTTTGCTATCATGCCGAGATAACTTAATGCAGAGACGTGCAAAAAGAGTCTGACCTGCGATTGTTCTCTTCCGCCGCGCCGCGGCGCCGGGAGGGTTCTCGAGGGACGGAAACGAAGGCGAGATCCGGAACGCGGCGCTCTCCGATTGATCCGGTGATTGACGGAGTTGCGCTGTGGGCACAATTTTCGCGAGCAAAGACACTGCGCGTGTCAGGAGTCGCGCCGTGCTCCGAGCTCCGATTCTCGACAATGCCGGCATGCGCGCACCTGTACGTGGGGCGGCATCGACCACGCGGGACGGCGTGATCGACAACCCCGTGCGAATCGAATTGGTGCCACGAGACTGACAGCAAGCACGTAGCAGTGAGCCTCGCGGCCCGATTACAGAATATGTTCGATCCTTAAAAAATTGGAATTAACGACATAAAGAAATTTCATATTGTTACAGTGTGATATTAACAATATGAGAATGTAGCATATTAAATAATGTTAAGAAATACATTTTTGTGCAAATTATATTATTGAATGCACATAATTTGTACAAATATTTCAGATCTTACACGTTTTGAATACAGGGGTGCTTGAATTCAGGAATTACGCCTAGGCACACCTATAGGTATAACTCTAATGCTATAGTATATATGACATAAACTAATAGATTATTGTTAGAGTTACCCACGTTAAATTTCTGAACGCAGCCTAGCATATACATATATCTTTCGACAATCATGCGTTAAAATTGACGTTCACTTATATAATAGATTTTTATCAATACGTATATATGTATATTTTAACCGCGTCGTGTACAACGACTACTTATATATTTTTATTAATACATGTATATTTTCACTACTTTGTATGTAACAGATTTTACGATGCAAATATAAATATAATTATTAACAAATTTCATGAAGTTTCACTTTATTAACTTACATTAGGATTCTATATTTAAATAGATTTCTTCTCTTGTGTTGTACGATGCATTAGGTACTCGAGGTGTCTGCTGGACCTCTGAACGTCTACAGAAATAAGAAAGAAGGTAAACGAAGCGTTCCCAAAAAGTTCTAAAAGTAGCACAGATACGTATTACAATAGGCTGATGGCGAAGCCTAAAAAGATAATTTATATGTATATATATGGACCAACTTGCAGCACCATGAACGTGTCTTTGAACATGAGTACATTAAATTGGACAAAGCAGTTGCTAATGATTTCACAATTTACTAGAATAATACATTAAAATTAGTGATTATTAATACTAATTATTTTTTGTGCAACAAATTAACACATTATGTGATAAAAGATTAGTATTATTACATTTTGTACTTTTGTTTTGTTTATATTTTTTATTTTATTTTAAATTCTGTATATACAACTAGGAACCTATTATTCATCATTTAAATAAATAAATTATGAAGTTGTAAAATCATAAGAGCATATAAGACAATTTGACTTACCAATTGTACGAAGAATTTAGTAAATGGAATTTATAGGCAATTAGCACTAATAAAGCGATTACTGAACATATATTAACTATATATAAGAATTTCAGGAACCCAGTCATGTAAGTTTCTAATCTTTTATTATCTGCATATTCAGTAGTATTTCGTAATATTGATGCATTTCCTCCTGTAACATCTAAAAAAGTAACTACGTTTGATAAATAATTATATTACGTGTAGTAATAGATTAATTTTATTAGTAAATAATATTCATTATTAAGGAATTATAATAGTGTTAGAAATAAAAACTATTATGAATGCAATGTTAAATTTGTTAGAAATTATAGTATCGTTAGAGCAATACTATTAGTAACAAAAAATTTGTCATAATATACATTAACTTCTTGTCCATCAAATTAAATTTAGAAAATAATCTAAAATGTATATATATTTACTTAATGTTGTTTTATGCAGGGTGTAACAGAACACCTGATATGAGCGCTCCGTTACACCCTGTATAATTAGAATTGTGGAGAATAATTTTAATTTTATTTATACATATTGTACTATTGCCTTTTGCATTACTTTTGCCTTTTTGTATGTTTTACGTAATGGTTTACATTATATAAACTTTTTATTTTAAATATGTCACTCTTCTCGCTGAAATATATTCTGTACTGATTTTAAAATAAATTTGTTACATTATATTTCTTGTTGCAATTGTCTATGTACATATATTAGCTTGTATTTATTAGCTTGTATGTAAAAAACACGAAGGTATTATTCTTCGAATTCTGTGATTATAAGAAAATAATTAACAGAATGAAAAAGCGTGTATGTATGTACATGAATATCTCTTCATTCTGTTAGGAGTGTTAGTACATTTCTAGAGATATAAATTATCTTACCACGGACTAAAATCGCAAATATAATGGTGCGTAGTGATTGCATGTTATAATATGAGATTCCACTCTTTTCTTCGCAAAACTTAATTAGATGAAATTGCTTCTTTCTTGAGTCATTCAATCCTAATCTAGCTTGATGTCGTTAGTCGTCTGAAATTATTAACATAGTCATTTTAGGCAAAATGATAGAAAAAAACAAGACATGATATTGACAATGAGATAAATTTCAAAGAAAATTGAACAGCCTTAAGAGAGCTATATTTACCATAAGATAAAGGAACAAAATAACAATAAAATATAAAATATGGAATATACTTATTTAAGAATAAAACATAATTTAGTTTGACTTATCGGCGTTAAAAGTCTTTCAGTATTTATATAAATATAATATATTCATTAAATCGTGGATATTTGTCGTTAAGAGAATTATAATGTTGCTCTGAGAATTCGAAAATTAAAAAATAATATTAGTTATGATAGGCAATCGGAAGATTTATGTGTATTTTAATTACTTGACGATGTCACGAAAATTAAAGTCTTTTGGAATGTCACGCAACGTTAGCAACGTTAGCAACTGATTATATTGTTGAAATTTCTAGAAACTAGAACTATAGTTTACAGTGTGATTAATGTAGGATCAAATGTTAGAAATAATTATAACGCAAATCACTTTTAATTAATATTATTACTAATTGAGACGACAATTATGATCTCTAAACGTAATCGATATAGGGATAAAGATTCTATCTCCTTACCACATAGGATATTTATTTCAACGTCCTCTACGTATGACGAGTTAACGACGATTAACGCAGTATGTAGGAGACAGGCATCTCTTTGTGACAATTGTATTATTCGCATAAACACTATTGGCTGTCTTAAGTGCCAATGCAAAACTGTTTATCTTTAGGTGCTCGCGAATCATATCGTTACACTGCTCCTTTGCGAATGATTTCCTTCTCATATAAAAAAAGAACTCAAAATTATGTAGATATATTACATATATCACAATATATGTTGCAATCATATATACATATAGCATTCTACAAATAGTATATTATATCTACAACCCATTATATGTCCTAGCAGAATCGATTATTTTCTCTTCTTTAATTTTACAGCCCGATCAACGTTGGCAACGCGGAACTGTGAACAACGGAAGAAGGTATGA